CACCATGAGCCGCTTCCTGCCGCCATCCAAGGTCATGGGAGCGGGTGCGTGGGTGGCGGCCGCCGCCGCGGGCCGCGGGCGCCTCTCTGCACCCCGCAGTACACCAGCGCCGCTGCTTCCTACCCTGGCTGCCTGGCGCTCCCTTGCCACGCACACCCACGCACGCATCACACACACACGCACACGCATGCGCGCCCCTGCCTTTCCCCCCCCCCCCCTTTCAGATGTGGAGCGCTCCATCCTGGGCGACGGCTGCATCGTGGAGCCAGACGCCAAGATCCACCACTCGGTCATCGGCCTGCGCTCCATCATCCGTGAGGTGGGAGACAGAGACGCCCCGCCTGCGGCGCGCCCCTCGTGGGCAGCCCCGCGCCCGCCCTGCCCGCCCTGCCCTGCCTGCGTCTGGCGCTGCGCTCACCAGCCCCGCCGTCGTTGCCCCACATGAGCGCCTCCCGCCGGCCCCTGCCCTCTGCCCCTACCCGCCCAGCCCCCGACCACCTCCTCCCCCGCCTCCCCCTCACGTGCGCTCCCTCTCTTCCTCCTCCGTACCTCCCCCCGCCTTCATCTGCAGGGCTGCGTGATTGAGGACTCGCTGCTGATGGGGGCAGACTATTACGAGCAGTACGAGGAGTGCGAGGCGTTTGCCGACTGCCTGCCGCTGGGCGTGGGCAAGGGCACGCACATCAAGGGCGCCATCGTGGACAAGAACGCGCGCATCGGCAAGTTCTGCAAGATCGTCAACGCAGAGGGCATCCAGGTGTGCTGCGGGGGCGAGCGGGGGGTGGGTGTTACTGCCTGGGGGCGCGGCAGGCTTATTCAATGAAGCCCTTCTTCCTGCACCTGCACCCTGCACCTGCCCCCGGCGCCGTGCCGACCCCGCGCCTCCCGCCCTGCGCCGCCCCGCTGGCGCTGCCCGCAGGAGTCGTTCAAGACTGAGGAGCAGGGGTGGGTGATCCGCGACGGCGTGGTGGTGGTGATCAAGGACTCCAACATCCCTGACGGTACCATCATCTGAGCTGGCACGCGCTGAGCTGGCGCCGGGCCCGAGAGCTGGCACCTGCCTCTTGCTCCTCCAGTGACCCCTCCCCCTGGGCCCGTGGCCCAGCCGGGGCGCGCAGCCCAGGCCGCGACGCCACAGCCGTCCTGCCCGCCACCCATTCTTTCGAGCGATTGCCGCCCAGGCAGTCGGGCGTGCAGCCAGCAAGACGGGGGGCTGGCGCAGCAGCTGGGCATGCCACCAAGCCCGCCAGCGCGTGCGCCGCTGGCAGCCCGCGCTGGTCCCCCTTTTTTGTTAGTCTCGCCCCGCCCCCACCCTACCCATTTTTGTCCAGCCCACTCATTCATTTTGGCACTGCACAGAAGCGCCACGGCACTGTTCCCCTCTGCCGAGTGGGCTGGGTTGCTCCCTGCCTGCCCTAGCGCTGCGGTGCCGGTGGGTCCGTCTGCTTGCTTGCTGCATTGGTTTCCTGCTGCGCTGCTGCATCCCCCATCCCCTGTACCTCTCTCTATCCCTCTTTCTCTCTTCTGCAGCCCCCCCGATGATTTTGTTCAGCGAATGTACCCGCCCGCCCCCAATCAACGTCCTGCCGTTTCCTCACACGTTGTGGCGCACCCGCCCGTGGGGCGTGCATGACGGCGGTCCGGCCCCTGCCTGGCCCCTGCCCACAATATCACGACTGCGTAGTAGCGGCGAGCTGTAAGAGAACTGCCCTTGCTTTGGGGAGGCACTGGCGGCAGGCCGCCGGCAGCGCTTTGGCACTGCTGCGCCAGGTGGGAGCGGCGGTGACTTTGAAAGCACATAGCCGCCGCGTGAGGTGCGCATCGCCGCTTCATCAGTTATGGCGCCCTCCTGGCGGCCCTGCCAGGCCATCGTCTCCCTCTTGTGCCTTCTCCCCGTGGTGCTAGCACAACCACGGTTCTCGTTGCCCGCGGGGTTCAGTATATCGCGATACTCTATCAGCACGCTGCACAAAGCACGCAGCCTGACCCTCAGCGGAGGCGACGGGGGGGTGATCACTTATGTCACAAGTAGAGACTTTGACTCGCCTGGGACCGACAAGGCAAGTGACAGAGCCGATGATGCGGAGGCTGAGAGGTCTTCTGGGGAGATGTGCTACCGGTACTGCCGCCGCCAGCCGCGCGGCCGCAACTGGCACTGGCTTGTGTGGGCTTACAGCCTGGTTTCGGCAAGAACCAGCTTGCAGCACAGGCAACCGCCACTCGCTGCTGCCTTGCGCAGGTGTGGGCCCTTGTGGACCTGGATGGCGACGGGCGGGTGGACTACCACACGCTCATCCTGTCGGGCTATGCCAACCCCAATGGCGTCGCCTGGCGGGATGGCGACCTGTTCATCGGGTTGCCCACCCGCATCGTGCGGCTGGACAACATCGACCGGTATGCGCTGCACAAGAAGCCCTACACCAGGACGCCGACCACCGTGCTGGAGCTGCCCGTCCAGGACTTCCACCAGTCGAGATACCTGTCGTTCGGGCCCAACGGGAAGCTGTACTTCGGCATAGGTGGTTGGGTGGTGGTTGGGCGGTGGTGGGTGGTGGGCCAGACCCCCTGCCTGCTCCACTGCTGCGGCCAGCACCTGGCGGCCCTCACAGCTCCCGCACCGGCTTGCCTCGCCCGCCTGGCGCTCACCGCAGGCATGCCCTGTGACGTCTGCGTGCCGCCCACCTACCGCCGGAACGCCACCTCGCCCAAGTTTCTGCACGGCTCCATCCACCGCGCCAACGCCGACGGCACAGGCGTGGAGCTCTGGGCCTCGGGTGCGGCTGGCTGGCCGGCTGGCGGATGGCCGGCGGCCTGCGGCGCGACCTCTGCGCCGGCGCATGCGCCAAGGGCTCCGCCACGAGGGACGGTCGGCCCGCCCTCGCAGCCCGCCACGCGCTCCTGCCCGGCTGCACATCCTGTCCTGTGCAGGCCTCAGGAACAGCGTGGGCTTTGACTTCCACCCACGCACCCGCAAGCTCTACTTTGCTGACAACGGGGCGGACTCTATCGGCGGCGTCATGACCGCCAACCGGCCTGACGACAAGCTGGGGTATGCGCCGCGGAAGGGTGAGTGGCACGAGCAGTGTGGAGCGGGAGGCGGGCAGCTACCCTGCGGGGAGGGGCAGCTGCCAGGAAGGGCTCGACAGCTGGCATGGCGGCCGCATGTCAATGGCAGTCTGGCAGGATGGGAAAGTCTTGCCCTGCTGGCCCCCCTTGATTGATCGATTGATTGCTGTGTCTCGGCTGATGATGTGTTCCGCCCGCAGGGCTCAACTTTGGGTTCCCATACTGCCACACAACCGGGCGTGGCGGCGAGGCAAAGAAGCCCCGGCTGCGCCTCCCCGGGGTCGGCACCCCGCTGCCCGACCCCACCCTGAATGCCCGCCAGCGTGCTGTCAAGTGCAAGAGTGAGGCCGTCTTGTGTATGCACAGGCCTGCCACCTCCTGCGCCTCCCCACCACAATGCGCCTCCAGCCTGCCCGCACCTGGCACGGGCCAGGCGCGGCGTGGCGGGTGCCGACCCAATGCCGACCGCTGCCCGCTGCCGCGCCGCACCCCCGCGCTGCGCGCAGGCAGCAAGGTCACGCCCAGCATCCAGGCGCTGGGGCCGCACGTGGCGCCGCTGGGCATGCGCTTCTACTCCTGGCGCGCCGCCCGCTCCGCCTTCCCCAGGGCCTATGACGGCTCCCTCCTGGTGGCGGAGCACGGCAGCGGCGGCCTCAACGCCACAGACCGCCTGGGGTACAGGTGCGCACAGGTGCAGGTGGGGGGCGGCACGCAGGGAGTGGGGGCGCATGTGGTGGTGGTGGCGGTGGGGGTGGCTGCCTGGCTGCCATGGCACCTGCCGTGACCCAGGCAGGCCGTGCATGCCGCGTGCATGCCGCAAGCAAGCAGGCTGCCCAAGCTGACGAGCACGTGCGCGCCTGCCTGCCTCCCCCCTGCCCCTCCTCGCCGCCTCCTGCCGGCTGCAGGGTGGTGCGTGTGGTGCTGAGCAAGGCGGGGGACAGGGTGGTCAGGCACGAGCGCTTCATCAGCGGCTGGCTGCAGAAGGAGGGGACCCCAGACTCCAGCATCGTCGGTGCGCCTGGGCAAAGTGCAGCTGTGGGGGTAGCCAAGCAGCGTCGAGGGGTGCCCAGTTCTCCTGGGCAAGCGGGCAGCGGCTGCTGCCTCGGCCACCGCTCTGCTTCACGCTGCTGAATACATGCGCCATGTTGCGCTGTGCTGTGCTATGCTGTGGCTGCAGGGCGCCCGGTGGACCTGCTGCAGCTCCCCGACGGCTCGCTGCTCATCTCAGACGACGGCGCCGACTGTGTGTGGCGGGTGACGTACAAGCGGCCGAAGCGGTGAGCCTGCAGGCAATGAGGCCTGCCATGAAGCCGCATTGGTGCTGTTCTCATTACACTTGGTGTGGCCAGTAACGTTTTGATAAATGAATGAACAGGATAGATAGCAAAACAGCAGCGTTTCCAGCTGGAAAAAGTCAGTGTACGAGTCAGCATTGCAGCTGACAAGCGGCCCTGGCGCTACACCCGCTTGGCGGCGGTGCTGTTGCCAGCCTTGGCGGGGGCAACCAGCGCGGCGGCGCCGGCCTGCACGAGAGCCTGGTACATGCCACACATGCCGGCATCGGTCATCGCGATGCGCACAAAGCCGCTCTCGCCTGCGGCCACAGAGGGGCGGGAGGGGAGGGGCAGGGTGAGCACAGGCGGCCAGCAGCAGAGGGTGGCACAGGCGGCCCGCCAGGCGTGGCAGCCCAGCACACGACACGCTGGCTGCCCGCTCACCCCAGCTGGCCCCCAGGCTGTTCTTGGCCAGGAAGTTCTCAAAGCCGGGCTTCTCGGTGCTGTAGCCCACAACCAGCAGGGCGTGGTTGGGTGCGTTGGCGTCGGCGCAGGTGGGCGAGGACCACACGCCGCCTGCATAGTGCTGGAAGGTGGAATCCACAGCCAGCAGGGCCAGGGCGGGCCTGGCGGCCAGGGCCTGTGGCGGCAGCAAGGGTGAGGAGGGAGGGAGGTTGGAGCGGTGAGGTGGTTGGCTGGCGGCGGGAGTGGAGCGGGCACATCCCGCCACGTCAGCCGCCCAGCACACATCAGCCGCCCACCTTGATGAGCGCCAGCTTGGTGGGCTGCACTGGCGTGTAGGCGGGGGTGGCAGTGATGCGCACCAGCCCCACCTTGGCGGCCTGGCCGGTCAGGAAGGCACGGTTGCACTGCGCCGGCTGCCCAGTGGTGGCCAGGTTGCCGCCGCTGCCAGTGGCGGCGCGGTAGCGGTAGGCTGCAGGCAGGGGGGAGTGGGGAGAGGGAGGGGCAGGTTGGGGGCAGGTCAGCTAGGTGGGCGAGCGGCTGTAGGGCGCCAGCACATGTGTAAACAGGCAGAGTGCAAGCCAGTCGCGCCCTGCGCCAGGCTCAGCCCCACCCCTCACCCGACTCTGCAGTCACGCCAGCGGTGGCGGCAAGATGGAGGGCGTCGGTGGGTGAGCCGCGCAGGCAGGCGGAGGCAGAGTAGTTGAACTGAGTGGAGGTGCAGTCCTGTGGGGCAGGTGGAAGGCGGCCAGGTGGTGCAAGGCATGTGGCCAGGTGGGAGCAGGTGGGTTGCAGCTGGTGAGCACGCAGGCAGGCAGGCACGCAGATCG